TTTTTTTTTTTTTTTTTTTTTTATTATAAAACTTATCCCTACCATTAAAATTAAGTTTTTGCCATTGTATAGTAATTAAAAATGTAAAATTTTTTTTTAAACAAAATCTCAACAGATGGTGCCAAATACAATTTTATATATTTTGCATAATAATATGAGTTTTTAATTTAAAAAAATCTTTTATAACAGCTGGAAAAATTACGCAGCTCTCGCGGATTTTTTATTCTAGATTATTACTCTAAGATCAACTGACTATATTTTATATTTATTAATATACAGTTTAAATTTGTTAAATCTCTAAATTCCTACAACATTATTTATTAAATATCAATAAGTAAAGTTTGTTTTATTGGTATCCATTTTTAATGTATTAATAGTGCACCTTACAAATTGTATCCAAAAGAAAAATTATTCTAAAAAAAAATCACAGCTAAGAATATTTGGATAAAACTAGCAAATATACATAAAAATATTCCATGTTACCTAATACAGGATGGGTCACTTGAAAATGAGCACTTGTTATGTGGAACATCTCCATATAAAATGAAAAGATGAATATGAAACATGAACAGAACAATTATTTCATGATAAAGCAATGGACCAATGTATGTTTTACATTGTACAGTTACATTTGAACAATATGTAATCATGAGATATTGAACAAAGTAAGTGTTTAGTCCTGAATGAAAAATCACCCCATATTATACAAAGATGTTTTCAACAAATTAATTAACATTGTGAATTAATACATAATATTTTCTTTATTTCTAACAGTAGTATATATAAAAGTAAACATTGGTATTTACAATATGGCAAAATTTCTATTTTTATACCTTTTTTTATTTAAAATTAAAAATCTTCAATAATAAAAATCCAACATTTATGCACATGAACTTGCTTTTTCTTTTTGTTTATAATAGTTATAAAATAATTTTTAAAAAAAATATTATATTATCACAGGTTTTCTCTAGCGCATTATATAAAAAACATTCCTATACATTTCTGCATAAATTATTTATAATTACAGAAGACAACAGATAAAAATGCAATTAATTTAAGATATGGTTTGATTTTTAATTTTTAAAAAAAGGCATTTTTCACAATTATATTTAACAGAATCCATTTATTGTAATCACTTTGGAACTTATCTGTATTGATGATAATTTTATCAGTTGGTTCAGTGGAGTAAATAAAGACTAGTGAATGGAAATTCAGATTTTATTGACTGACATTAAAAGAATATTTTATAATTGAAGAAGGAAATGCTAGCATTTTAAATTACTTTGTGAGCAATAATTAAAAATGATTATCAGCCTTATTCAGTGCTTTAAATGATGTTTTTTCTTGCTATCAGTCTCAACAAATTGCTGATAATGTAGCTTAAAATGTCTAGTAACTTGAAGATGATCACTTATTGTAATTAAAGTTTCAGTTATTGTTAAGTTCTATAAATCTGTTTCAAGGTATACTAATTTTGATAATAGAAAACTGATTATAATAATTGGATTCTACTATGTATTATGTATAAAGTTAGAAATTAGAATTTATTAATCCCATTTAATAGATTGAACAATTAAATAATTTTCAATTTTAAATGAAGATTCCTCAAAAAACAAAAAAATCACACACACACTTTAATTATGAAAATTATTTTGTCTTTGGTGATTGAAAGATATTTTTTCTCCTTAAGTAATGCACAATCAGAGGAGAAGAAGAAAGGGTTATGGCAATTCTTACAGGAGCAAATAATTTATGAATGGCATAAGCAATAACAAAAGTGCTACCTTCCATTACGACTTTGCTCTCGGCTAAATTTTCTGCAAATCTTGTAGCTTTTAACAATGAAACAACATCCAATCCACTAGTAAAAGATTTTTAAAAATTAAAAACATTAGTGAGACTTATTATCTAGNGTATGAAAACTTGAAAACAACTCCAAATATTGTCTTTCCAGAGGATAATTTTAGTCATACAATAGTTATCTTCTGTTATATAATAAGTTGAGTGTACCTTTTTATACACAAGACTTCAGAACTTATATTCTTCTAGTTGTCCCATTGCTTTGTTCTTTGTATAGTAATTAGTTATTAAATCAATTTTATTTTGCTTGGATTGATACATACATTCATATGAAACTGATTTTTCGATTAATGGTCAAAAACAATTTAATTTTAAAGCATGTTTCAATAACACACCTATTTATTATTCAAATACTTTCTACTGATGTTCAATTGTGAGTTTTCTACTTATACTGTTAATACATGTTGTATTTTAGGTATTTGAGCAGAGTGAATGTATACTTAAGTGTTTGACTTCATTTGTATTGCTATATTATCTAACTTTATAACATTGAAAAACATTTTTAATGTCAGTATGGTTTGGTGTAATTATTATTATTAGTGATTTTTAAGCTATAAAGAAACAGCAATCAAATTAACTTGTATTTATTTAGCAATGAATTTTGAGTGATTAAAGCTAAATAGGAAATATAATTTCATATTTTGTTATAAAATTTATATTGTAACAGAATACTTGCTCCTCCTCCTAATTTTTCTTCTTTTTTCCAATAAATAGTTGTTAATTTGTATTTGATATAAAATAAAATTTAAAAGGGAAATTATTGAAATCATTTATTACTATAATATTTTAATCTAAAAAAAAACTTTTATAGAAATTATTATAAATGAGTGCTTAATGTGTATACAAATGTCCCTTTTTATGATGTTGCTATAAGAGTAAAGTTTTAATTTTTGCAGTTAAAAAATGAATTGGATTTATTGATGTATAGAAAGCTGATCAAATATTAAAAAAAAATTTCTAAGCTGCAGTATAACTTGCATGTTTAATATATTAAAGAAAAAATTTTATTAATAAAAATAAACTTATTAATTTGCTCTAATAGATCTTTGATTTCTATATTTATGTGTAAACTTACAATATTTCAGTTTATGACTTCTTTTTTGTTTGAAACTTTATTTTCATGTCAATCTTCATAAAAAAAAAAAATTTTAATACCTGTTTTCAGATCAGATTTTGGGTTTTATATATTTGTACATTCTATTTGATACTCATAACCATGATATTTTAATGTTTAAAGCTTTTATTTTTAGAAAAAGCTTTTTGATTTTCTAAAATGACCATATCTAAGATATAATGTAAAATGATGATCTTTAAAAGAATTTAAAGCAGAGAGGCAATCTATACATATATTAAAAAATATATTATTGGTGTAATTCTTTTTATATAACTATTTATCAAAATGTTATATATATATATGAAATGTACATACATCCAGACTTTAGTGTTATACATTATTAAATATTTTGAGTCTTCAGTTTTGATATTTTGGTTGTGTCATTTCAAAAATATCAGATGACAAAATGCTGAAATATTAGCATTCATACAGGTCGACCAGTGGATAAAACCACTGAACACTTGTAGTTGGAACCCAAAATTTGTTTCTGATCAATGTACTGGTGTTTTTTTCAGGTTTTTGTGTGTGTAAGATCTGAATGGAACAAATTTCTCTTAGAAAGTTCCTGGGAGACACTCCCTTTGCAGTTTGCTCATGTTGCATTGTCTTATTTCATCAAAACAAACAACACTCATTATAACATGTTAATTTTTGTGCACAATAAACAAAGATTCACAACTCTGTTGTTAGTGACCCTCCAAGGAGTCAAATTTTAACTAGAGGGTAGATAATAAACCAATTCGTTGTTTGGGGACAGTAATTTGTGTCTATTATTTTTGAATAATTTTTAAAATTTTAATAACAATGCATTTTTTTTTTATTAAACATGACAAAAAAAATCAAATACAAAAGAATAATTTTGATTTCTCATTCATAATTGTTTTCATATTGGTACAGAAAAAATGAAGCGTCTGGATTAAGATTAGCTTCTGGAACTGATCCTAGTGCAGAAATGTTCTGACGGAATGGTTCCATCAGAACAGTTGGTTCCTACATGTTTCCTCAGAAGTAGGGTTAACAGTTCCGTCAGAACTGTTAAGCTAGACTGTTCCTCAGAGTCATTACATAACATTGAAATTGCTTAGTTTGTTGGAGTAGATGGTCTCTAGTCAGTTTTATATAGGATATAAAATGTTTCTCTCTCTCTCTTCTTTGTTTTTTGGTTGATCTGCTCCAAATAATTATTGTTTAACTCGGAATCTGAGAAAAACAGAGATGATCACAAAACCTGGACATCTTATCCCTCCCGATTTCATCCCCCCCTTATTAACTCCTAAATCAATCTGATCTGCATCTAATTTTTCATGCTTACTTGGATATCAATATATAATTTGTTATAATTATGTAAACATCTACCAAAAAAATTTTTTAAATCTTTCCAATTATTTATTTGAAAAACTCCCAAAAACCTTTTATAATAAAGTGTTTTGCAATTCATTCGTGGTCAGACTTTTTTTTTTCTTGTTTTTAGTAATACTGTATTTCAAATTTTACTATTAGTTTTTTGCATTTTATGTTTACTTTTATATTAATTAATGCATATGCAGGGTGGGCTATAATTATTTCCCATTTGTTTATGTTGAAATTCATACACATTAAATTACATGTTATTTAATCATCGCTAAACCCGATGTAATATAGCTAATCACCAAACATATGCTGTAAATCCATCGGGCTAGTTTTAAGGCTAATTACTAAATAAATTACGTAATTAATTTGGCACTAGAGGTAAGCGTTAGGCGCCATCTCTTATTAACATTGTAATAACCGTCGATGGTTACATAGTTATACGCTGGAAGAGGAGATCGGATCGGAGGTCCGGATAGCATAACTGGCAANCTTTATAACATTGAAAAACATTTTTAATGTCAGTATGGTTTGGTGTAATTATTATTATTAGTGATTTTTAAGCTATAAAGAAACAGCAATCAAATTAACTTGTATTTATTTAGCAATGAATTTTGAGTGATTAAAGCTAAATAGGAAATATAATTTCATATTTTGTTATAAAATTTATATTGTAACAGAATACTTGCTCCTCCTCCTAATTTTTCTTCTTTTTTCCAATAAATAGTTGTTAATTTGTATTTGATATAAAATAAAATTTAAAAGGGAAATTATTGAAATCATTTATTACTATAATATTTTAATCTAAAAAAAAACTTTTATAGAAATTATTATAAATGAGTGCTTAATGTGTATACAAATGTCCCTTTTTATGATGTTGCTATAAGAGTAAAGTTTTAATTTTTGCAGTTAAAAAATGAATTGGATTTATTGATGTATAGAAAGCTGATCAAATATTAAAAAAAAATTTCTAAGCTGCAGTATAACTTGCATGTTTAATATATTAAAGAAAAAATTTTATTAATAAAAATAAACTTATTAATTTGCTCTAATAGATCTTTGATTTCTATATTTATGTGTAAACTTACAATATTTCAGTTTATGACTTCTTTTTTGTTTGAAACTTTATTTTCATGTCAATCTTCATAAAAAAAAAAAATTTTAATACCTGTTTTCAGATCAGATTTTGGGTTTTATATATTTGTACATTCTATTTGATACTCATAACCATGATATTTTAATGTTTAAAGCTTTTATTTTTAGAAAAAGCTTTTTGATTTTCTAAAATGACCATATCTAAGATATAATGTAAAATGATGATCTTTAAAAGAATTTAAAGCAGAGAGGCAATCTATACATATATTAAAAAATATATTATTGGTGTAATTCTTTTTATATAACTATTTATCAAAATGTTATATATATATATGAAATGTACATACATCCAGACTTTAGTGTTATACATTATTAAATATTTTGAGTCTTCAGTTTTGATATTTTGGTTGTGTCATTTCAAAAATATCAGATGACAAAATGCTGAAATATTAGCATTCATACAGGTCGACCAGTGGATAAAACCACTGAACACTTGTAGTTGGAACCCAAAATTTGTTTCTGATCAATGTACTGGTGTTTTTTTCAGGTTTTTGTGTGTGTAAGATCTGAATGGAACAAATTTCTCTTAGAAAGTTCCTGGGAGACACTCCCTTTGCAGTTTGCTCATGTTGCATTGTCTTATTTCATCAAAACAAACAACACTCATTATAACATGTTAATTTTTGTGCACAATATACAAAGATTCACAACTCTGTTGTTAGTGACCCTCCAAGGAGTCAAATTTTAACTAGAGGGTAGATAATAAACCAATTCGTTGTTTGGGGACAGTAATTTGTGTCTATTATTTTTGAATAATTTTTAAAATTTTAATAACAATGCATTTTTTTTTTATTAAACATGACAAAAAAAATCAAATACAAAAGAATAATTTTGATTTCTCATTCATAATTGTTTTCATATTGGTACAGAAAAAATGAAGCGTCTGGATTAAGATTAGCTTCTGGAACTGATCCTAGTGCAGAAATGTTCTGACGGAATGGTTCCATCAGAACAGTTGGTTCCTACATGTTTCCTCAGAAGTAGGGTTAACAGTTCCGTCAGAACTGTTAAGCTAGACTGTTCCTCAGAGTCATTACATAACATTGAAATTGCTTAGTTTGTTGGAGTAGATGGTCTCTAGTCAGTTTTATATAGGATATAAAATGTTTCTCTCTCTCTCTTCTTTGTTTTTTGGTTGATCTGCTCCAAATAATTATTGTTTAACTCGGAATCTGAGAAAAACAGAGATGATCACAAAACCTGGACATCTTATCCCTCCCGATTTCATCCCCCCCCCTTATTAACTCCTAAATCAATCTGATCTGCATCTAATTTTTCATGCTTACTTGGATATCAATATATAATTTGTTATAATTATGTAAACATCTACCAAAAAAATTTTTTAAATCTTTCCAATTATTTATTTGAAAAACTCCCAAAAACCT